TTTTTAATTCAGCACCACTGTGGAGGTCTTGGTGCCCACCCACCCCCAAGCAGCCCCTCCTGTCTTGTTGCTGGATGCACAGTGGCCCGGCAGGCCCCCTCACACACGGTGGGATTGGGGGTTGGCGTTCATGGGAGGGCTTGGGAGGCACAGGCCCCACACTCCATCCTGGGACTGCAGGCAGCAGGGGGCTGGAGCGCTCCTTGCACGTGAGACCGGCCAGGGGCCCATGAGGACACCACCCCTTGGTGAAGGCCGTCTGCACTCTGTGCCTGGGGATGGATGGGCGGTGGGTAGGCACTCGGTTGTTCCTCCTTCCCCAAGGCCCACTGTGCACGGCCTCCGGCCCGGGATGAGCCCCTGGTGGGTGACCCACGCTAGTCCTTTGAGGGCTTCTGGCCTGGTGGGGAAGGTGGTGCATGCACTGGAGGCTTGAAAGGAGCCCAGGTGATGGGAGGGAGGGACATGGGGCATCTGAGTAGGAATCAGCTCCAGGGGCATCCCCCAATCCTGCAGGGCCCCGACTGCCCCTGAGCTCCAGGGAATTGCTGCTGGAAACACGATACAAGGGTTGCCAGGCAGTGGAAAAATTTGGAGCTAAAAATACAGTGTGGCAGCCCCTGCCTCCCAGTTCCGGAACCCCGCTTCTGCCATTGTACCCGCCTTCCCTAAGGAAGACAAGCTCACTCTTTGCACCCCGCCCCCGCGCCCTCACTGGCTCTGGGCCCAGAAGCACCCCAGCCCCTGTGCTGACGCTGGCAGGGCCGCCCTGAGGCTGCCTCCCCACAGCAGCCAGCCCCTCTCCCGGGTGCCCCTGTCCCCAGCTGGTGCCTCCCCTCCCCCTCACTCCCACCCCTGGGCCCCCCAGCGCCTCCCCCAGCTCTTGCAGTGATCTAGGAACAGAAGGCCAAACCCGCTCCTCCAGGGTGCTGAGCGCTGGCATTTCTCTGGGCTTCCCCACCCCCACCACACTGTTCAGACCCCAGGGGGCCCATGTGGGGGCGGTGGGGGGGACCTCCCAGCAGCCATGCCCATGACCCAGTTTGGTCCCAGTGCCCACCTCAGGAGGCCCTCCCTCTCTGGCTCAGTTTCTCCATCTGCATGGCAGGGGCTGGACTCTGAGGTGGGGTGGGCGGGGAGGGGGCAGCTTCGACCCTGCCCCCTGTCCCCCTCCAGGAACACACTCTGCTTGACAGACGCCTGCCAGGCAGGGGCGGTGCCTTCCCATGAGTCAGCACAGCTGCCTGCGCATGTAGGTGCCTGGATGGAGGTGCCAGTACTGCTGTGTGGGGCTGGCTGGGCCTGGGCAGAAAGGCAGATGGGCGTCCACGTCTCCTCCTGGTCCTCATGGGCTGGGTGCCGGGTCAGTGGACTGACCCAGGTGAGGGGGAAGGCATGACCCTGCCCCAGCGGGAACCCCACTTTATTGGTACAACAAAATTGAGCGCTGAAGCAGCATTGGGGAACGTGCCACTCATGTCGGAGCCCCAGCATCTTCCTCTGCAAAAGGCCCCTGCCCACCAGAGTTCCCCCGGTGCAGGGGGAAGGACGGACTGCCTGCGGGGCACTTGGGGGTTGCTGAAGCGCCCCCACCTTTCAGCTGTCCGAGGGACTGGGTAGGGCCTGAACCGCCAGGTATTTGGACCCTGGAAGACAGTCGTGCTCTACAACGGGTGGTGCCTGCCACAGAAAAAGGCTCTGCAGATGCAAATTCCTGCGCTGGCCCCGCCTCCGGCAGGCTCTGACCCCACCCCCATGTGGGGTGGGGGGGCCCAGAGATCACATTCCTGAGCGTGTGGCCCCGCCCCACCCTGACTAGGCGGAGTCTGGGAGGGTCCCTGCGACCCCGCCCTGTCTAGGCGCCAGGCTGGCTTGCAGCCAGACACTCAGCGCACGGGTTGGGCAGGGCTGGGCAGGCCGGCGGGCGGGGCCGGGCAGCCCGTGGACGGTATGACAACAGCCAGGAGCGCTCGTGAGCGCTCACTCGGTGCCCGCCGGGTCCAGTTTATCCACTGGGAACCCCACAGCACCTGTCAATTGACAGACCGGGAGCAGAGGGGGGAGTCCCATCCCCAGGAGCACACAGCCAGCAAGCCCAGGGGTCTGGCTCCTGCCTTCCAGCGCGCCGCCGCCCACGCAGGTCCCGGCTATTGCGGGAAGGCTTGTTCCCCACCGTTCTCCTGACAGCAGCAAATGCCTCCTTCCCTCTGGGGCTCCCGGCAGAAACGTTCAACCACCATCCGCACAGGGACAGGCTGTGTCTTCGGAGCTGCTCCTGGCAGAGACTGGGTCACCACCCCCTGAATTTGGCTGAGACTCCAGGCCGGCAGGAGAGTGGGAGCGCCTTATAGTTTGATCATACGTATACGCGGTCATGGTTCCTATGGACGTATAGCGTTCTATCCGTGTATACAGTGTGTGCATGTGGAGCGCGTCTAGGCATCCTGTCTGTTGTCAGGTGTGCGATATCACATGCCTGTATGTGAGGCATTCGAATACATATGTACATGTGACATGCTGTGTGTGTACTGTTCTGTGCGCGTGTATGACGTGTGCGTGGAGCGTGTAACTTCTGTGCGCGTGTATGACGCGTGCGTGGAGCATGTACTGTTCTGTGCGTGGGTATGACACGTGCGTGGAGCGTGAAACTGTTCTGTGCACGTGTATGATGCGTGCGTGGAGCGTGTACTACTCTATGCACACGTATAATGCACGCATGGAGGGGCATGACCAGCTTGTGAAACTCAGCTCCAGGGCACACAGCTTAGGATCCTTCGTGGGCAGGCAGGTAGACAGGGCTGATCACCTCCTGCAAGGGGGCCCCTGCAGGTGGGGTCTTTTGGGGTAGTGAGCTGGGGGTGCACAGGGAGGCCTAGGCATTGCCAGGTGGGGCGCTCTGGGCTATGCAGGCTGTCTGGGAGAGGTTGTTTTCTGCATCTAGGGACCCCTGTGGCTCTTGGCTAGAGAAGACCCTTAGGATGCTGGAGGCCTGGCCTGGGAGAGTTCATGCTCCAGCCACTCAGCCTGTGCCAAGGAAACAGGGACTTGGGCCAGTGTGGCGGGGGTGGGGCGGGGAAGGGAGGGTCAGTCCTGGCTGCGCCTTTAAGCGGCAGCACCCAAGGTGGGCGGCAGTGTGTGCAAAGACCGCTTGCTGTGCTTTTCATGGTGCCGGGAGCAGCCCCCTCCCCTGGCCCCAGGAGACTGCCCAGCAGGGACCGGAGCCACAGCTGGAGGCCGGGCAGCTCAGAGGGCAGCAGTGATGAGAAGCCAGGAGAGTACGAGGGGCAGCCTGAGGCAGGGCCTGGAATGGGTGGGCAGAGGCAGCCAGAAGGTCCTGCGCATCTGGGTGAGTGGACGGTGGGGGAGGGGGGCGGGTGGTGAAACCGTGCCGTCACAGGGAGGGCTGACGGACACCCCGACCCCCCTGCAGGGACGCCCATACCCCCTGCCTCTCTGGATGCTCCCAGTGGGCAGATGCCAGAGGTTCGGGTGAGGACAGGGTGGCTCACACAGGACGAGTGGCCTGGTGGGCCCAGAGCCGGTTCGCACGCAGGCCGGAGCCTCTCTTCCCCTCAACCAGACCGCCTCCCTGGGGCACCCCCACGAGCCTGCCTGGCACTCAGCCAGGCAGGAGGATGAGGGGCTGGGTGGGGGGCTGGACTCCTGGCGTGGACCCGCTGCAAACGGAGGAGGGGCTGCTGGAATGCCGGGCCACCCCAGGCCTGGGGCTGGGGGAGCACAAAGGACACCCAAGACACTCACCAAGGCAGAGGGGGAGTGGGGCCTCCAGGAGTGCCAGCCATGAGCCAGGCCAGGGACGGGCGCCCAGGCTCCTGTCCTCACTCCACCTCTATCTCCTGTAGGACCTCAGATGGCCCCTGGAGTCTCCCCTTAACGTACCGGGTCCAGCAGCCCCGAGAGGGAGGCTGGGCTGGATGGCCAGCCTCTCTCTGGCCACCCTCTGCCTGGGGTCTAGGCTCACTCGGTTCTGCCCTTTCCAGTTCTGGGGACTGGGCATGTGACCTGGCTTCTCTAGGTGCCACCCTCCTTTCCTCTCCTGTAACGTGGGGCGGCTGGGGACCTGGGGGGGCAGTGGCGGGGCCAGGCCCTGCGCATGAGGCTCGGTGGTCCTGCCGTGCTCTGCTTCCCGGGCGGCCTCTCAGCAGCTCCATGCTGTCCTTACGCACTAAATACAAGACCCGAGCCATACATGGTCACAGGAGAGCCTGGGCTGCCCCTGACCTTTGAGGCCAGTCCCCAGCGGCTCTGGCTGAGGACAGCGTCACCGTCGAGGGCCCCGAGGAGGGGGGCTTAGTGGGTGTGGCAAAGACACAGTCACGGCCGGCCTGTCCTCTTGGGAGAAGGCAGGGTTGGGGGGCATTCTGGGTGGGGGGCTCACACCTGTCAAGCCTGCATCGAGTAGAGCTCCACATGCCAAGGGCCTCGGGGGACATCCGGTCCTCTGCCCACACAGATGGACGAACTGAGGGCCTCAGAGGCCAGGCTGCTTTCCCACGGGGCCCTGGCCTTGCTCGTGATGGGGTGGGGGGGCGCTGGGCATGACCCTCAAGTCGGCCCCTTCCCCAGCCTGATGGCGTGGGCAGCCCCTGAGTGCCCAGGGTCTGGAACGGCCCCTCCCGGTTGCCCCTATCTGACCCTGGCCCTGGGGCAGGGGAAGTGCTCCTAGGACAAGATAAGGGAGCCCCAGAGATGCCACTTTTGTTGCATCGTCACCACTGGGTCAGTGGTGTTCCTGCCAGTGTAGCCGCCTCGAGGTCCTCGGGTGGACAGGGAGGCGGTGCTGCTGCCCACTCGGCCGATGTGCAGCTCATCAGGGGTGTGCACGAGAAGCCTGGGACGGTGGCGGCCCTGACGACGGGACGAGGGCACAGCGTGCCCCGGGCAGGCCCGTCTGGCAGGCGGTGGGAGACACCGAGGCAGAGGACACTGCCTCCCCCCGCAGGCTGGGGGCTCACGCCCGTCTCCCCCTGGCCCCGCAGGTCGGCAAGATGTCGGTGAAGGAGGGTGCGCAGCGCAAGTGGGCCACGCTGAAGGAGAAGCTGGGGCCGCAGGACTCAGACCCCACGGAGGCCAACCTGGAGAGTGCGGAGCCCGAGCTGTGCATCCGGCTGCTGCAGATGCCCTCCGTGGTCAACTACTCGGGCCTGCGCAAGCGTCTGGAGAGCAGCGACGGCGGCTGGATGGTGCAGTTCCTGGAGCAGAGCGGCCTGGACCTGCTGCTCGAGGCCCTGGCGCGCCTGTCCGGCCGCGGGGTGGCCCGCATTGCCGACGCCCTGCTGCAGCTCACCTGCATCAGCTGCGTGCGCGCCGTCATGAACTCGCAGCAGGGCATTGAGTACATCCTGAGCAACCAGGCCTACGTGCACCAGCTCTCCCTGGGTGAGCCGCAGCCTGCTGCCGGGCACACACACACCCCTTCGCGACTCAGTACAGAGGCTCCGGGCCTCCAAGGGCAGTGGGAGGGGTGGGGTCGCAGGAGAGAACTCAGCGAGGCAGCAGGGAGGGCGTCCTGGAGGAAGAAACCAGGCTCCCGTTCGCCCCAAGTCCGAGCCCTCCAGGTCAGCTCGGAGCCATGGTCGTCCAGCTGCTGCGCCTAGTTGTCCCTCTGGTCCGTGACTCCGCCTGGCCTTTCCGTCCAGCCCTGTGCTTGTTCACACCCCGCCCCGTCCCCCCGGCTCCAGCCTACGGCGCCCCTCCCTCCCACCTGCCACCCTGGTTCGTGCCCTGGCAGCCAGACTCACCTGGGCCAAAAACGCAAGTCCACCCTAGTAGCCCTGTTTACCTTCCACCTGGCTCCAAGCCCCTGACCTCCGTGGGGCCACAGCCCTTCAGTTCTGGCCAGCACTTGAAGCTGGTGGCACCTTCTTCCACCTTTCCCCACACCCCTACCCTGCCCATTCGGTGCCCTGCTCCCACCTCCTGCTCAGGCTACTCTGTGCCTTTGTGCACCTGCTGACTCCTTAAGTTCTCGCTCACGGTCACCTCCTCCAGGAAGTCTCCCCAGGCTGCACCCAGCATCAGTCTCCTACCTTTGGGAGTGACCTCAGGTGGCCCTTAGTGAACAGGGGTCACTGTGTGTCCCTTGCCTGTCAGGCTGTGCTGCTCTATGGCGGATGGTTGGAGCTCCGGGAGGGGGCAGGGACGGTGGGTCGGCCCGTGGGGGTGGGTGAGTGTCTGTGTGGGTGAGCAGGGACTGCTCTCAGAACTAAGGCCCAGCCCAAGCTGACCGTCCCTGCGGGGCCTGGCGCTTGGGTCCTGCAGGGGATCAGCGCCGGTGCAGAGCGCCCCCTGGTGTCCACCTGCAGGCCCTGCTTGTCCCGCTGGAGGGGGGGTTCTGTCCGAGGGTCAGACGCGTGGGGAAGGGCCGCAGGGAGGAGGAGGAGGAGCCCAGGCCTGGGATCGATGGCGGGGGGACCCACTGAGCCTCCCCGGCCCTCGGCAGCTCTGGACACGTCCAACGTGATGGTCAAGAAGCAGGTGTTCGAGCTGCTGGCCGCCTTGTGCATCTACTCCCCCGAGGGCCACATGCTGACCCTGGATGCCCTGGACCACTACAAGGTGAGCCGCGGGGCGCCTGGGTCCACGCTGGGCCAGGGCGCGTGCTGACCCTCGCCCGCCCTGCAGACGGTGTGCAACCAGCAGTACCGCTTCAGTGTCATCATGACTGAGCTCTCCGATAGCGACAACGTGCCCTACGTCGTCACCCTGCTCAGTGTGATCAACGCCATCATCCTGGGCCCCGAGGACCTCCGCACCCGCACCCAGCTGCGTGGGGAGTTCACTGGTAAGTGCCCGCGGCCCGCCCCGGTGCCTCCTGCAGGAGATGCCCGCCCCCCCCACTCCCCTAGGGCCCCGGACATGAGTCCTGTATGGCTCTCAATGTGAGGCTGACCCCCCAGTTCCAGTCCTGCCAGGGGTGGCAGTGACCATTTAGCGGGGACGACCGTGTTGCCCTCCGGAGCGTTCTGGGTACCTGTAGCAATGGCAGGGTCCCCCTCCCGCCCATGGGCTGGGTGTTCTGGGTGGGTGGAATGAGCCCAAGGAGAGTGCAGAGGGGAAGGCATCAGAAGACGCAAGCAACCCGGGGTGGGGGGCTGACCAGAGCAGTCTCTGAGGCCCGCTGACCCCGCTGTCCCTCCCCAGGGTTGCAGCTGCTGGACACCCTGACACGGCTGCGGTGAGTGCCCACCGCTGTCTCCAAAGCCAGGCTCACCCCTCCCTCGGGTCCCACGCAGCACCACCTCCAGAGGGGCAGAGGCGGCTTCCAGGAGTGGCCCCAATGGGCCCAGCCCGCTGGACCCAGGTCCCAGTGACAGTGCAGTTTGCCGTTGTTCACACTGCCTGACGGGCCACCCTGCAGAACCGCTCTGCCCAGGGGCTTGGGGGCTGCCAGATACGACACAGGACACCCCGTCAAGCAGGAGTGTAGACGGACACCAGAGCGTTCTAGCATAAGCATATCCCAGATTCGCATAGGACACACTCATGCTACATATCATTCGCTGTTTTCCTGAAATTCAAACTTATTTGGGTTCTGGGAACCCACGCAGCTGAGAATGCCCCTCCCAGGCCCCATCAGGACCGCTCTCCTGGGTGGGGCCACCTGTCCCGGCTACAGGGCCATGTGCCCAGCACAGCCCCGTTCAGAGAGGTCTGTGCGTCTGTCCAGGCTCGGGGGAGATGGGGGGCAGCAGCCTCAGCCCACCCGGCCCCTCTCGCCCCAGGGACCTGGAGGATGCCGACCTGCTGATCCAGCTGGAGGCCTTCGACGAGGCCAAGGCTGAGGATGAGGAGGAGCTCCTGCGCGTCTGCGGGGGCATCAACATGAACAGCCATCAAGAGGTCTTTGCTTCTGTGTTCCACAAGGTGAGCTGGGGCGGGGCAAGCTGGGCCTGTCTCCAGAGGTGGGGGTCCAGGGCTCAGACACGGCTGCCTTCCCTGACCTGGACACCCCACCCCGACCACAGCAGTGGGGCCAGATCTGGAGCCACATCAGGGAGCAGCGAGGGATCAGGGGGCTGGAGACAGGAGGAGCCCGGAGCTGGAGTGGGCAGCCTGGGGGCAGTCTTTGCTGTCACAGGCACCGAGCCAAGGCCACGGGACCCAGGAGGACAGCGTCCCAAAGACCTGGGCTGCCCAGAGGTAGCTGAGCTGTCCTGGGCCCCCACAGGCGGGCTGCCTCGAATGGCCTGAGGGGCTTCCGGACCAGCAGAAGGCCAGGAGGCCGTGTTCTGGTTCAGCTCAGGCCCTCCCTGGCCGGGACCTCCTATCTTTCACTGAACCCACGGCTCTCAGCCAGGGGACGAGTGTCGCCAGGAGGCATCCAGAAACATCTGGACACATTTGGGGTGGTCTCAGTCGGGCAAGGGGTACTACCGGCTTCAGGCAGGTGGAGACCAGGGATGCTGTGAGACCTCCCACAATGCCCAGGGCAGCCCCCCGCGTGGAGAGGTGTCCAACCCCAAATATCACCAGTGCGGCAGTCAGGGAGCCCCGGCTCCGGTTCATCCAGAGCGGTGACGGGGTGGACGTTCCTGGCAGTCTGAAGCCTGCCACTGTCAGCCTGCCCCAGGGAGGGCACGGCTGCCCATCCACCCTTTTCCTCGCCCCCCAGGTGAGCTGCTCCCCAGCCTCTGCCCAGCTGCTGTCCATGCTGCAGGGCCTCCTCTACCTGGAGCCCACCCTCCCCTCCAGCCAGCTGCTCTGGGAGGCTCTGGAGAACCTGGTGAACCGAGCCGTGCTCCTGGCCAGTGACGGTGAGCAGGTGGGGCAGATGGGGGCGTCCTGCCCACAGCGCCCTCCCTGACCCCAACTCAGCAGGCACAGTGGGGTCTTAGACCGTTGTGGGAGGGTCCCGTCCTTGGCCCCTCACCCACCCTCTGTCTGAGGGCAGTGGCCATGCCTTGCCTGCCGCCCACCACCCACCTCCTCTGGCGCCTGCCCTGACCCTGGACACCCCCTCCACAGTCCAGGAATGCACCCTAGAAGAGATGGTGGAGCGGCTCCTGTCCGTCAAGGGGCGGCCACGCCCAAGCTCCCTGAACAAGGCCCACAAGAGCGTCCAGGCCGACCTAGGCCAGAGTCAGAAGGGCAGCGTGCCCCAAAACAGTGGTGCCCTGAAGGCGGGTGTGGAGGGCCGCCAGCCTGAGGCCGACCTCACCAGCCTGCACACCGTCGACGTCCAGGGCTCGAGCAGCATGGTCGCCCCACAGCCGCGGGCGCCCACCCCAGTCCCACCTGCACCCCCACTCCCCGGCTCCCCTGCAGGGCCTCCTCCCCCGCCCCTACCTCCCCCACTGCCAAGCCTGGGGGCCCTGGCCCCCCCACCCCCTCCCCCACTGCCAGGCCTGGGGGCCCCCCCACCCCCTCCACCACCCCCGCTGCCTGTCTTGGGTGGGGTCCTCCCTCCCCCACTCCCGGGCACGGGATGCCCCCCTCCACCCCCACCCCTGCCGGATCTGTCTGGCTCCTCTAGGGTGGGTGGTGAGGAGATCATTGTGGCCCACGTGAGCCACAGCCTGGACTCTGCCTGGGTCCCAAGCCACCGGCGAGTAAACCCTCCCACTCTGCGCATGAAGAAGCTCAACTGGCAGAAGCTGCCGTCCAAGGTGGCACAAGGTGAGGACCCCCCGGTCCGCGTGAGTGGCTGCCTTCCCGTGGCCGGGGGCAGGGCCCGCCGTACCTGCAGCATCCCTGCTCCTGTCTGGGCCTAGGCCCAGGCGTGAGCCTGACCGGAGACACCTCATGTGCAGAGCACAACTCCATGTGGGCCTCGCTGAACAGCCTGAGTGCCGAGGTCGTGGAGCCCGACTTCCCCAGCATCGAGCGGCTCTTCTGCTTCCCCCAGGCCAAGCCCAAGGAGCACGTGGCCGCCCCAGCCCGGAAGGAGCCCAAGGAGGTGGGGCCGGGCTGGGGCTTGGGCTGGGGCTTGGACGGGGGCCTCTGTGCTGCTCTCAGGGACCAACACCAGGGCCGGGGTGTTTTCCAGATCACTTTTCTGGACTCCAAGAAGAGCCTGAACCTCAACATCTTCCTGAAGCAGTTCAAATGGTGAGCAGCTCCTCCTGGCGAGTCCCCTCCCCGCCCCTCCCCGGCACCTCCCATCTTGGGCTGCGCAGTGCCCTCTGCAGGCCGCTCCTGGGAATTGCACACCCCCCTCCCCGGGGCCAGTCAGCGGCAGACCGCCCCAGCTGGGGGCCCTGGAGAGCACCCGTCCCCACTTCCTGAGGAAGCTGAGGCCCAGACAGCAGCGGGCAGTGCTCCCGGCCCCCAAGTCCTTGCCTGCAGCTGCTGGGCACTGGCTCCTGCCAGGGAGCTCCCTGGGCATGCATGAGCCGGCCTGCCTGTGTCCTGAGCAGCCCCCTGGAAGGAGGAGCAGAGGGTGCAGACCCGGAGGGCGGTATTCAGCCCCCAGCCTCGTTACTGTGTGACCCCAGCCAGGGGGTTTGCCTTCTCTGTGTCCCAGCAGCTCGGGCCCCCAGGCAGCAGAGAGATCATGGGCTGAGGGCAGCCCCTGACTGGCAGGGTCCCCAGGAGCCCACAGGAGGCGGCCATGCTCCCTGGGCTCCCACCCCAACCACGCCCTCTCTCCTGCAGCTCCAACGAGGACGTCACCGCTATGATCCGGGCTGGGGACACCACCAAATTCGACGTGGAGGTTCTCAAGCAGCTTCTCAAGCTCCTTCCTGAAAAGCACGAGGTGAGTGGGAAAGAGCCTGCGGGCCCTGCCCTGGGGGCCCCCAGCAAGGCACAGAGGAGAGGACACATGGACACACGGTCCGGAGCCGCACGGAACTGTGCTGGACATGAGTGGGCCCTGGTGGGGCAGGTACACGCAGGTGCCGGGCAGTGCAGGGGGCTTCCTGGGAGGGGATGGGAGCCAGAATCCCATGTGTGGGCCTCCTCCCTGCAGGTCGAAAACCTGCGCTCCTTCACAGAGGATCGGGCCAAGCTGGCCAACGCCGACCAGTTCTACCTCCTGCTGCTGGGCATTCCCTGGTGAGTGGGCAGCCCTCGGACCCCAGGGCCCATTGGTGGGGAAGCGGCAGCGGGGAGCTGGGCCCAGACCTTGAGGAGGGAGTGGGGCTGTGCAGACTGTTCCCTCGGGACTCCGCGAGGACCGCTGCACATATCACTCACGCGCCCACCTGCTCTGGTAGGGAGGGGCGCCCTGCAGGGAGGCACCTGCCCTCCTGGGCGCACCTGGTGCTTGTCTCACGTGCCCCTTCCCGGGCCCTACCCCAGGCCTGCTGAGTCCACCGCTGGGACTTCGCCCAGGAACGTGCACATTGAACAGGGCCAGGCCATCGGCCCCCGAGCTGGGGGCCCAGCACCAGTGAGGGGGGGCCCCGTCCCTGATCTCCTGCTCTGTCCCCAGCTACCAGCTGCGGGTAGAGTGCTTGCTACTGTGTGAGGGCACGGCCGTCGTGTTGGACATGGTGCAGCCCAAGGCCCGGCTGGTCCTCGCTGCCTGCAACAGTGAGTGGGGGGCAAAGCCTGGGGCTGCGGGGGACCTGGCACCTGGAGAGCAAGCGGTCCCAGGGGCGCTGACCTTCCCCACCTCACCACAGACACACAGACACACCCCTGCTCTGAGACACACACCGTGCACGTGCACTCGTGTGCATCTGCCGACACGTGCACACGGACACAGGCAGGCACCCATACAGAGCTGCATGTGTGCACACAGTCACACGCGCACACACAGACGCAGGCCCCCGTGCACACAACGAGCGTGCACACACAGGTACATGCTCAGGGACACACATGTGTACACTCACCGCTTTCTCCAAATGAGGGACGAGCAAGACCATACCCAAGCCCCGGGGCAGGGACGCACGCAGTGGACGTGCACTCCCATCCCGGCCACAGAGCCAGGAAGGCCACCCTCCCCGAAGCCCCAAGGAATGACTGGGGGAGACCCACCCGGGGAGGCCACAGCTACAACCTTCAGCCTTCTGGGAGCTTCCTCTCAGCAGCGTCACCCCCGGAAGGGGGCAGTGATGGTCTGCGCCCGGGGTGGGGAGGGTGCAGGGAGTGCTAACAGTGGCAGACCTGTACCCAGAGCCCCTGAGCCTGTTCACAGTGGGGGGGATTCCAGCCACCCTGCCCACCCCTGGACCACGCCCGGGGGAGGGGAGTGAAGAACCCCACACCACAGCCTCAGACTCCGTGCAGCAGCCTCCCCTCCCTCAGCCCTGGTGCCCTCCCACAGGCCTGCTCACCAGCCACCGGCTGCCCATCTTCTGCCAGCTGATCCTGAAAATTGGAAACTTCCTTAACTACGTAAGCGAGCCCCCCCTGCCCCCACCACCCCCGCTCCCCCCTGCCAGGCGGCAGGGGCCCTCACTCCTGACCCGGACGCTCGCAGGGCAGCCACACGGGGGATGCAGATGGCTTCAAGATCAGTACGCTGCTGAAGCTCACGGAAACCAAGTCCCAGCAGAGCCGCGTGACGCTGCTGCACCACGTGCTGGAGGTGGGGCCGTGGGCTGGCCCCCGAGGCTCGGGCATCCCCGGGGCCAGGGTGTTGCCACGGGGCTCTCACTGGACACGTCCTGTTGCAGGAGGTGGAGAAAAGCCACCCAGACCTCCTGCAGCTGCCCCGGGACCTGGAGCAGCCCTCCCAGGCAGCGGGGTAGGTGCCCCCTGCCCCCACACCGGCGCCCCCCCCCACCCACCCACCTCACCTGCGCTGGCGCCCTCCTCTGGTCCTGGCCAGTGAGGTGGCTGGGCCACGCTAGGCCCCCAGGAACCACTGCCCCATAGAAGGCTCACTTTCACCTCAGACTAGGACCTTGGGTCCATCATGGCCTGTCCCCACGTGACTTACAGGAGGAAACAGGCCTGGGGGAGGCAGGGAGTGACCTGGTCACGGTCACGCCAGGGGCCAGGCTGACGCCACCTCTTTACAAGGTTGAGCCTCACAACAGCCCGTGAGGAAGGCTGCGCCACTCCCATTGCACAGATAGGGAAACTGAGGCCCAGGCAAGTGGGGCTGCATTTATGGGGTCCCTCAGCCCAGAGGGGCAGCTCAGGGAGGGTGGCCTGGACCTTCCAACTTCAGGTACCTGCTGCTACAGAGGGTTCTCAGGCCTGAGAGCCAAAGATGGGCTGAGCCACCGGGGTCACTGTCCCAGCATTTCACCCCCAGCACCGCCTGGCCCTTCCCAGAGCCCTGATGTGTTTCTAGCAACCTGCGGGTGTGTGGTCCAGCGTCCCCCGCTGTCCCTCTGCGGGCAAGGGGCTCCGCTGACCCCGCAAGACTGGACATCAGCTGTCACCTGACCCCGCGGGGCTCTGGGGTGTTTTTCAGGATCAACCTTGAGCTCATCCGTTCCGAGTCCAGCACCAACCTGAAGAAGCTTCTGGAGATAGAGCGGAAGGTGTCGTCCTCCATCCCTGAGGTGCAGGAGCAGTACACGCAGCGCATCCAGGCAAGCCAGGGCCGGGGTCTGGGCCGGGGGGGCGATGCTGGATCGTCTCCAGGGCGGGTGGGGGCCTTGCTGCGGGTGCGGCAGCCTAGGTCAGCGAACCAGGCAGGGGCCGGTGAGCATGGGGGAGGACAGAGCCAGGGCCAGGGGCCCTGCAGGAGGACAGCATGCTGTCCCTGGTCCCAAGGTGGTTCCTGCAAGTGAGGGGCTTCCCCGATCCCAGGGGCCGCAGTGCCCAGACCTCCTGGTCCCGCTGTCTGGGGGGGCCACCGCAGGTAGCCATCCCCCTCCTGTGGCCCGGGGCCCCACCCTGCCCCCAGGGCTGTGACCGTGCCCCCCGCCCCCAGGCCAGCATCGAGGCCTGCCAGGCGCTGGATGAGGTGCTCCAGGCTGTCGAGCAGAAGAAGCTGGAGTTGGCTAGTTACCTGTGTGAGGAAGCTCAGCAGCTGTCCCTGGAGGACACGTTCAGCACCATGAAGACCTTCCGGGACCTCTTCATCCGCGCCCTGAAGGTGGGCCGGGCCGCACCCCCTCGCCGACCTCGGGCAGAGCAGCTGGAAGCACCCCTTAGTGCCAGGCTCGCGTCGTCCCTCGAGGGCTGGGGTCACGGGCTCCGTGTCCACCTGTGTCCACCCGCGCAGGAGAACAAGGACCGGAAGGAGCAGGCCGCGAAGGCTGAGAGGAGGAAGCAGCAGCTGGCGGAGGAAGAGGCGCGGAGGCCGCGGGCGGAGGACGGGAAGCCTGGTGAGGCCGGGCCCGGCGGGGGGGCGGGAGAGCTGGGGGGCGGCCCGGCGGGGGGGCGGG